GGCTACGAAGCTTGGATACCAGTCCTGGTGTCTTTCATCTCCTTTTTCACGGGGATCATGGAATTTGAGGCCTTGTCGTCTCAACTACGCAATGTCAATCAGTCCTTGGAGTCACTCAAGAACCTTCATTTCTGGTGGCAGAGCCTTTCAATGGTCGAGCGGCGAATGCCCTCCAACAAGAACGAGCTAGTGGCTTGCACAGAGGCGACGGCTGACAGTGAGATCTCCGCATGGAAAAAGACATTGAAAGTCAAGAGTGTGACATCTGGCGGTTCAAATGGGAAAGAAGAGGCTGAGGAGGATTCGGATTGATGTTTCACACGGCATGCGCATTTTTCCACGCCGCCCAAGGTGCCACTGCGGTAGCCAGACATGAGACTGATTCAGCTTCACCAAGTAAAGCTGAAAGACACAGATGCCACCGAAAACAGGCCTGCGAACCTATTGTGTCAGGATGTTCAGTGCTACAATGTACTACATGTGCGACCTTGATGTCGCTTCCCTTGCGCATGAACTGGTCTTTCTTGCATGCCTTCCTATGGCTCAGACAAAAAACATGACATGCAGAGAAGGCATGGGACCATAAAGCCATCCAAGTTTTGTTGCACTTGGTTGCGCAATCAAGTTGGGCTTCTTTGTGGCTTCAACTCAGGCCGCATCGCTGCGTGCGTGTGTAAACGGCAAGCCAAGTAGTTTAGTAGTTGATGATGTCTGACATGTAAAACACCTCGCGCTTGTCCTTTGGGAGCCATGCCGCGGTGATGAGCGGGCCTTGAACCTTTGTGCGCGGTGGTCATGGAGGCGCATGGTCGCTTGAAGACTCCCGGAGGGTTAACTCTGAGAAGGGGAGTATGGATGGTGTGAGGTAGATTGCGCTCTGGACAAGTCGGGATGCCTATTGCAACTTTAGGGTCAATTTTGGGCTCAGCGCATTGAAGCGCATTGAAGCGTCTTCGCATGAACTTGAGGTGTCTTGCAGCGGACGGGTTGCTTGATCCGAGTCAAAGGTTTTTGCCAGACAACAGCAAACTCCAACAAGACACTCTTGACAGCCTGACCATTGTATGGTCTGTAGTATCGGGTGATTTTGTTTTATAATGCCTTATATTTTTATACAGGAATTAGTCCAGCTCTAACCCCCCCGAAACAGTTGGTTGAGGGAAGCCAAGAAGCCGTGGCCGCCAGTGCGGACAGGCCATGGGCGTTGGAGAGACGGCAGTCGAATGCCAGGGGCTCAGCCGGGTTTCGTGTTTGTGCTGTTGCTTCGAGGCCATGGGGGATGGGGGGCGTGCTGGTGCTGATAGAAGATCCAATGGTCCTTGAAGCACATTTTGCAGGGTTCTGTCAGACATTTGCGGTTTTCTGCACGCGACCGCGCGAAGCTTGTGTAACACACGGAGCTGGTAGATTTTGAAGGCATCCTTTTTGGTTTGTGCCGTGGATTCCCCTTGTAGCCCCTAAAATGGAAAATTTCATGGCATATTATAGAAATTGTGGAATGGTATACTTTCTACAGCATGCTTTCCGCTTTCCTGCAGATACCGTAGCGTAAAGGCAAAGGCGTGCAACAATTCTAGTCCCTACTGAGCACGAAACCTGCAACCGCGCACTCAGGCCTCAACCCTAAACCCTAAATCAATAATAAAACCCTAAACCCAATCCATTGCTGCACTTGCGCCGCAGGATGCAGAGTATGTTTTACCGGGGACACGGACAGCCTGAGCGTGGAGGAGGGGCTAGTTGTTAGCGGATGCCAGCCGCAGTAGTAGTAAGAGGAGGTGGGGGGTCATATTGGTGCTACGACCACGATTATACTGCTACTGCTACTGTTACTGCTTCCTTCGCCACTCCAGCTATAACCTCTACTAGGTCGACTCCTACCCCCACGGTTGATTTCATTATTGTTTTTTCCTACCATCATTGCTGCTACTATTGCTACTACTCATAAGTGCTAGCAATATTAGTATGATTTCTAGTGCTGCTACTGTTGCTGCGGCGGCTATTGATACCAACCCTTCTACCAGTACTGCATGAGTATTGCTGTTCCTTTTTAACTTTATTACTGCCGCCGCTATTCTTGCTGCTGCTGCTGCTG